CAATGCTTCTCCAATACTGCCATCTACAGAGTCTTTCGTATATTACATTGTCCCCTTAAAAGGCAATACTGCCAGGTCCGTTCAGAAATCTCATAACTAACTCTGAAATTACTGGTTTCTTCATTTCGCTGCAAAACCGAGTAAACTATCTAGAATGTAAATTTCATATGCTTAGTATCTAGAGGAATTTCTCGCTTATGTAGACAGATACCTACCTCAATGAACCTCAAAGTTAGTGGCACTCCCTCAACTTTGAATTTATTTTTGTTCAGGTACGCCACTGCTTTAAGTGATCCTACTTATACCAATAAGGAAGACTTGATTTGATCCATTAAACCAAATGACAAGAAAATGAAGAAGAATGAAATGTGAGCCACAAGCCGTTAGATGCTACGAGAATATCTCAAGAAGATGTCATATATAGTTGCTGTGCTCTTAAACTTTTCTCTAAGTATTCATCATGAGCCACTGCTGGAGACAGATTACTGGCCTCACTCAGGGACACTGTTTTTATAGAGGAATAAGCTGCAGAGACACAGCTTCATAGAGATCAGAATATAAATACACACATTCATTATGGATATAATCTCTGTATTTTTTATGTTAACATCTCCAAATTATTTGTTAGGAAGAAGATATTGTGATCGCCTATGTAATAATGATGTACTACAGATCAAACCATCTGTCTGCAGCAACAGGGTTTTAGACTATTGCTTTTTCCCCAGAAAGAGTCATCATCATCCACTCTTGGCCGCTTTCTCTCACAGAAGTAATCAAACTGAACCCAGTAGGTCTACTGACTACATTTAAGAGAGCGGAAAAAAAAGCTGGTCCTTAGAGATTTTTTTCCTCTTCAGAAACCCTTTGAGATTTCTAATTACAAAGTCACTCATTGGGCCAAATGGAGTAAGCTGGTGTTTGAAGTCGTGCAGTAGATTCTCCTACCATTAGCTGAAGAGCTGGGAGCTGGAGTCTTTTGTTGGTTTTGAATGCTGGGTTAATGAAATAACCAGCCTAAAATAACTGCTGCTCTGGGCTGAAGCTTATGTTTTCAGTTCTTAAGCTGAAGATAGTTTAGAGTTCTCTAGTACTTCAGTTGCAAATTTTAAGTAAAATGAACAAAAGATTTTATTAATATAATATTTTCTTTTGATGTCCTCAAAAAACGTAGCTACGTTTTAAGAAGTTGATTAACTACTTCTTCCATATTCCTAATTCCTTTGGGGAAGGGGGGTGCTAACTGAGAACTAACACTATGCTAAATCTTGGCAACGTCTGGTTGTCATTTGTGCACTTCAGAATCTGGGCTGATTTTCCCGTGTTATTGTTATACTTACGATGTTTTCAAACCAGTGAAACAGAATTATCCAGTGCTTCTTGTGACATTGCACTCTTAGAAGAATTGTAAGTCCTGATGGCAACGTTCACATCAAGAAAAAAAGACTCTGGCATAATTTTCTCATTTCCTTTCCATTTCATTACAACCACTTCTATTTACAGTAGCATAAATTAATCTTTTTGTTTGTTTGTTTACATTAGCATTACCTTTAGGAACTTGATGCGTTTGAAGAAGCATCCTATTTTAGGGGCACTAATGGCTTTAGACAACACAGTACCCCCAGGAAGTGGAGCCTTAGATTACACTAGAATAAATGCATTACTCTGACCTACCTAACAAGGCTTTGTTCCAGTCGGATCTAATTTCCAACCTTCCCCTCTCTTACTTGTGCTCCTTATGGATCTTGCCCTCCCAAAATCAGTCTCAAATCTCAGGCATCCTCCTACTTCACTTCACTCCCCAGCGCGCTGCCTACCTGCTTAACATCTTGACCTCACTCCTAGAAATACAAATCCTGGCTCTTGCTTGGGCAATGTGGAATATTCAGTGACATATTTCCTCTGAGTGTGCCAGACAAAAAAGTACCTGTATACAACTTGCTGAATATTAATTGCTTGAAGGCAGCCTATAAGAAATACAGGGTAATTGAAACTGCTTACTCTCTATAGAAGAGGGACGGAATATATGTACCTTGAATAAGATCTGGTATGAGGACAATTCTCAAGGAGCAGCAGGCATGCAGTGATCTGCTCAGGGTAGGCTAGTCCCTTAGGGCCTTACTTGTCATTTGGATTGCACTCTAGCTCAGGTGTTTAATGTCAGTAGAGGACACTAACTGTTTCAAATGGTAATACTGCCCTCGTTGAGTCCTAACTGAAGTGGGTGGATTGCTTTTAATTTTCTTTAAAACGTATAATGTAATATAGTTCTTAGTGCCATCCCCTGAAAACATTGTTCAGTATTTATACGTTGGCAATAAACATTGTAAGAGTTGGACCAAATGAGGACTGTGGATTTTGGTCTATATGAGCAAATAAAAGCATATTCTATAACTGATCTTGCTCACCCTGGGTTTATTCTACTTCTAATTCAGTTTTCCAGTCACTGAACACTTGTTGGGCAGCCCCAACTTCCCAGGTTTATTTATGATGTACGAAATCTCTGTGCTGCCTGAAAAATCATTCCATGCTTGGTGGTTTCAACTGCTGCTCTAAGCAGGACATATCACCAAACACTCTGAGAACAGTTACATACTGATTTGAACATACTCACCTTTCTCATGTAAACAGTTCATAAAGAACCACAGATATTTTTAGTGCTTGTTAGACGAGTTAGTGCTTGATTTCAGTCAGTTCATGTTTAATTACCTCTAACATTTGTGGTCAGGATCACTAGGGTACTGTTCCTTACTGTTGCCATTCTAGCTCCGCCACCTCATTTAGTCACTTTCCTGACTCGTTCACATGCAATCCACACTATTGTCCAGTATTTACCAGTCCCTATCATTTGATAAAGCTCTGTTTGTCCTTACTCTTTGTTATTCTCCTCTGCTGTCTCTTTTTGCTTCATCAATCTCTTCTCCTGTTCTTTTCTCTCCCTTCTTTCTTTCTTGAATGTTCATTAGTCCTCATCATTTAATTTCCCTTTGTTCTCTCCTGGTCCCTTGAGCCACTCATTGCTCTCTGTCTCTTCTTCTTTTTGCTCCAATAACCACTGTCAATCCAGAGATGAGATATCCACTCTTGATAAGCATCTGTTTTTTAGCAATTTGCCCTCCACTAGAAGTGCAAACTGCACTTTGAAAAATCTCACGATAATTCATTACTCTGCCAGAGGAAGGTGAAATGCAGGGCAAAGAGTTTGGCCAGGATCCATAGTCCCTATTCATAAAAAGAAAGCTTTTCAAGGAAACAGAGAGGAACCTTTCTGATGTGTTCACCAGACAGAGGAATTACTAAGAGGATGACCATGTACACGAAACAGTTTTCTGTGGCTCAGATATAAGCTACTCATACTTGTAATAGTATCCAAAAATCTAAATCTATTCTGAAATTAGAACATAGGAGTTTTTACCAGATGAATTACCTGTTTTATGTACAGCACATGTCATGTTGATCACTGTGCTGAATCCAGATAGCATTGCTTTTTAAAACCTCACTTGAGAAGAGAATTCAAAGTTTAAAAGTTCATATAAAAAGCCCTGAAAAGCTGTTGCTGTAGAGGCAATACAGCAAGCACATTCTTACATGGAATAAAGAATTTAACAACGACTTTCCAGAAGCTATGTTCTCTTTGATTTGAGCCTATCAATTGCAAGTGCATTCTGTAATGGGATTTTGAATCTGCATCCATCTGCTGGATGAGGACTGCGAATCAGCTCAAAAGCAGTTCAGCTTGTCAGTTCTGTGCTTGAAACTATGCTTGACACTCCCTCGTGTCCATAGGCACAACAAGGGAGGTTGGACTTTGCCAGGCGGTTTGAAAAGGAGGTTATTCAACAGCAACTGGAGTTCTTCAAAAGATGTAAAGAGATTTTCCAGAAGGAAAAACATGAGCTTGTACAACATTATCTTGAATCTAAGAAAGAGTTGCAGAACAGAGGATGAGGACTGCCTTGCACACAGAGGCCCTTCAGGCACTTACAGAAAAAGTCCCTGGGCTTGAGGGCTTGTAGCATTTGCGTACCCACTTGTTCACTATTCATTTATAGAATCCCTCAAAGGAAAAGAACAGCCAAATTCCTACATGAAGGAAACCCAAGTCAGGCTGACTGAAGGTACCACGCTGAAAGAAAGACTCAAAGCCAGGAACAACAGAAACCTGAAGATCATTACAGTGATGTTGGTTATTTTATCATCATTCTCAGTCCATCCCTACCCAATAGCCAGTGAAGTCAATAGAAACCTCTCCATTTCAGTCAGAGGAAACTGGATAAGGTCCTGAATGGTTACTACCTCTGAAGTATACTCAGAAGTGTACTTCTGAGTTCTTAGGTGCATTTCTTAACATACTTCATTATGGTCAGCTTGGGAACTGAACTAACCACAGGTTCACTATAATACTGCTCTAGAATGCTTCCTGTCCAGGAGCTGAAAATAAGCTCAGTTAGAAAATACCATCTAACAATTAATAATTTTAAATGGTTTAGTTTTTCTAACAGAAAGGACCACCACTTTCTTTCTTAAATAAAATCTATTTTGTACTTTGTGTGTCTATTTAACTTTTCACCCACATGTTACAAAACGCTGTGTTTTTCAGCTTGGACATTATCTCTCAACTCTATGTACGCTATACTGCGTACACTTGACTTTTTAAAAAAGAAAAGTGGGCTGGTGCCAGGGTTCACACAAACTTATTCTTCTACATTTTCATGGGCTTACTTGACTATAGAAAAGAAAACCAAAAGCAAAAAAATGCTTCCCGAGATGGATTTTTTAAATCCATCCATGGACCATTCTGTACATATAATTGCTTGGAATAAAAGGTACTCCAGGAAAGAAATAATCCTATACCCAAAGGAATCAGCTGGAGCTCTTCTCAGTTAAATTCGGTTACACTATTCTTTCTATAATTTTTCATTTGTTGAAGTTTGCCTTAATGTCCTGCAGCCATGGAGAAAAAGCAAAGTTGCTAATAAAATGATTTTACGGCTTTTCCATACCTTGTTCACAATAGGTGCCAGTTGTTCCAAGAGGACAGTGACATGTGTAGCCATTTGGCAGTGGCACACAGGTACCACCTTGTTTACACAGATGTGGGGGATCATGTTCCGGATCACAAACTGACACAGTCTCTGTGCAAAATGCACCTTTCCATCCAGTGAGGCAGTCACAGCTACAGTGCATAAGTGAAAGAAAAGAATCCAACGTTATTACCAAAAGAAATCATCAACATTTCAGTAGCAATGTAGTCAAGATTTTCAAGTCTGGATACCTATATTTAGCCATCTGAACAAAAATGCTTATCAGAAGAGTGTAGTACCCAAGTTTAAGTTAAGTACCCACTTAACTTTTTGATATATTTATTTTATTTTAAGAAAATTGTATCTAATCAGAAACATTACATTTTTATTATTTGAGCTGCAGTATCAACATCCAGAAATAAACAGTCAAGCTAATGATTCTTTATCGTATTTTGCTCTACAAATAACTCAAGAATGCCTTGGCTTCAGGATAAACTAGGAGGAGTCCCAAGTGGAAATAAAAGGGAAAGAAAAGCAGTGAAGTGCATCTCTAAAAATAAACCCCAGTGTCAGTATAAGGATTGACTTCTGAATTTTAACCAGTAATAGAAGTCTATCAATCATCCCCTTGCCTCTCATTTAGCCATTATTAATTTGCTAAATTCTATATTTTACCTATTTATATTTTATAATCTAGTGGCACTCTGATACATAAATTGTTTCCCTGAATAGAAGCACTTATTGATTTTTCCATAGAAGTTTTCTCTTTCAAGGCTAAGAATGAAATCTTACGTATTTTGATTAATTCTTAGCCCAGGTCTTTTTGTATGTGTGCATCTCGCTTGGATTTTTCTTCAGACTCACTGAGCTATATTTTCTTCATTAATCAGCCCACTATTCCTGGGCAAAACATACTGAGGAATCTGTGAAACTCTGCCTCATTTCAGGTATGATCTGTAACTATATTCATTTTCTAGAGTGTTCAAATACATGGCACAATGCTGTTATTACTGCTTCACTAAACTTTCAGAACAGACAACATGAAAACAAAGCACTGCCAACAGCCTCTTCAGTTTGATAAATGGCTGCTTGGAATGAAGGAGAAAAGAGTACAGGACCTTGCAAAAGCAAAAAGACCTCAATTCATCACAGTTTAGCACTAGAACGTTTTCTGGCTCAGCTGTAACTGCTACGCTTTCATGCATAGAAGCTACTGAGGAGAAGTAACTTAACTCTCTGAGTGGCATGTAGAAATGTCCACTTCTTGCACTGAGAAGTAGTGCTTGAAGCTGAAGCTACTACTGTTGGGTAGCATACACAAAGGTTCTTCCCTTTTGCCTTACTTAAGTCTGCATAAGCCTGTTTAAGATTCTTCTCACAGCTGTCTTCTACAGCCTAACAAGTTATTTACATGAGTTGAAAACTATTTACACAGCACTGAACATGTTGCTCGCTGTGGCCTACAGTGACAAAGTTCTATGAACTGGTACAATCTCTTCTACTTAATACTCCTAAGCAAGTTGGGCTGGGGTTGAGAAGTTTGGATCCAGCATCTCCTAATCTTTAGAGAGATAAGGGAAGAGGCAGCACTAAAAACCCTTTCTTCACATGCCGTCATGCTGGTCTAGTTTTCTTTATATTTTGTGTGGTTGCATATTGTAGTTTTTCCAGAACAGAATAACCTGATGGCTTGCTACATCACCAGTGCCTTGATTCTCAGGAAGTTAATGACCCATTTCTTTAGATGCAAGAGGTGGGATTCATTTTGCAATGAAGATACCTAATTTTACCTATTCACATAGGAGCTAGGGAGGGATTCTTTGGTCTAGACATCAACATTTAGCGTTATTTTACAGTTAGGGAAACCAGAGTGCTGTACAGCCCACCAATCAATACGTGCATAGGATACAGTCAGCTCATGACTGTAATGATAAGGGGCCACATTCAATTACCCCAACTTAGACATCTAGTGCCATCTGGCTGCCATGGTGTATCTGTGAGATCTCTGTGGAACTAGCAGGTAAGAAAGAAGACCTGCAGAAGTCCCACGTTCATCTGGACCATCCCATGGAGGCCAGGAAAGGTACCGCAGAATATATACCATTGGAATGCACTGCTTAAACAACTGGAAAGGCCCGGACCTCCACCGACTACAATAGGATCTTACACACCTAGTTCCGCTGGAGATACTTTACATTTAGGTGTCTTTGCAGCTAAATCTCACTTCATGATACTTTCCTATTTTCAAGTTTTTTAAGAGCAGTTAAATGGAATCCTTTATACTCTGGCTTTTAGAGTTTCTGAAGAGCAACTATCAAAATGTCTCTTAATTTTTCTATAGTGTATTTTTAGGTGGCGAAAGGATAGGAAGGCTTTTAACTCAGCAGCGTGCCTCAGAGGAAACTGGATAATCTTAAATCCCCTAATTTTGCAAAATGAGGTGCACTGCACAGCAAATGTATAGAAAGGTGGGCCAGTGCAGGAACCAAGAAATTTTAAACTCACAGCTCCCAGAGAAATAAAACAAAAGATCACCTTGGATTCTGGAAATCTCAGATACTACTTCAGGTTTTGTAACCTTTCTATTTAACAACTTTGAATATGGTTTATTTTTAATGTCAATTTTTTGTTTGTTGTTTCTTGTCAAGCATTTAGCAATGTCATACTCTAAAGTTCACAGAATGGCTTTCTGGCCTCAAAGTCCCAGAACAGGACCAAACTGAGCTCTGAAGTAAGCAATAGTTCCTATACAAGTAAGGACAGCAAGTTTATGTCACTGTTGATTAAGGACCTGGATTAAGGACTGGAAGAAAGCCAGTGTCACTCCAGTCTTCCAAAAGGGCAAGAAAGAGGAGCCAGGAAACTCCAGGCCTGTCAGCCTCACCTCCAGCCCTGGAAAGGTGATGGAACAGCTCCTCCTGGAGGTCATCACTAAGCACACGGAGGACAAGAAGGTGATCAGGAGTAGTCTGCATGGATTCACCAAAGGGAAATCATACTTGACCAATGTGATAGCCCTCTCGGATGGAATGACTGGCTGGGTAGATGAGGGCAGAGCAGTGGATGTTGTCGACCTGGACTTCCGCAAGGCTTTTGATGCTGTCTCTCATCACATCCTCCTAGGCCAGCTCAGGAAGTGTGGGCGGGATGAGTGGACAGTGAAGTGGATTGAGAACTGGCTGGATGGCCGAGCTCCGAGGGTTGTGGTGAATGGTGCAGAGTCTAGTTGGAGGCCTGTGGCTAGTGGTGTCCCCCAGGGGTCAGTGCTGGGCCCAGTCTTGTTCGATGTAGTCATCAATGACCTGGATGGAGGGACAGAGTGCCCCCTCAGCAAGTTTGCAGATGATACTAAGCTGGGGGTAGTGGCTGACCCTGCACAAAAGGCTGTGCTGCCATTCCAAGGGACGTGGAGAGGCTGGAGAGGTGGGCGGAGCGGAACCTCCTGAAGTTCAACAAAGGCAAGTGCAGGGTCCTGCACCT